CTCAATGACCGCGCACTTTCCATGCACCGCAAGCACCCACCTTTGCTTGGCACAGGACTCTCCTCAACATCGCTGAGAAGCTCCGCCTCTCGAAGACTTTCGTTGCACCGGCTCGCGGCTGCGCGTGAGCTGCGACACCTCCTCATGGCTGTCTTTGCTTCTGCTTCTTGGTCTCACCGGCCTCGCAACAGCCGTGCTTGCAATCACAGAGAGGCATGACTTCGCCACAAAAACTGCATCGCTGGCCGCCCCTGAGCAGCAAGCCTGTCAGCTCTGTCCTTCTTCCTCTGACTCGCTTCTGGCTTGTCCCTGTGCACCTGCCGTCCGACACTGCGCACGGCCCTCGCTCCCCCGACACCTTGGATACCCCTCCACTGGTCAACACACCGATATGGATGGAAGGAGAGGAATGAATTGAAAGAAGCTCACCACGCTGCGGTTGAGAAACATCTGGAGCATCTCGGAGCGGAGCACGATTCCTTTCAAGCCGGGACGTGGCGGCTGGCCTTCCCTGCGAAAGAAAACAATCTGCAGGCGGATGGCAGCCTCGGAGAATAAGATCCCCTCGGTGACACCGACGCCCTTTCCTGGAGTGCAACATGCTTTCACTGCACCCAGAAACGGCGACTTCACGCCGGTGCCTCTTGGTCGGCCTTGCCCGCCGCCCTTGCAGGTGACCTTCGTCAGCGTGCATGAGATGAAACCAAACGTGGTGCCATATGCTCCGGGCCTTGACTTCTGCTGCACCGCCTGTCGAACGCATGCTGCCACTTCCGACGCTGTCACCAGTCCAGCGACTCGACCCGACCCCTGCCTTGGGCTTCTTCGCGCCTGCATCCAGCTTCTGGCCCCTCTCCGTTTCACCGCGACTTCTTCCGTCCTTTGGTGGGTTCGAGTACAAGCTCCACTGTGACTCTGCCTGATGCCACATCTTAGCAGTCTTGCCTGGGCCCTGGCCGCCGGCGACACAGCCCGCCCACCATTCGATCTCCGGCTTCCACTCGGGACCCTCTCGTCGTGGTGGCTTCCACCCTTTGGTGCCTGGCTGTCGTAAAACATGCCCAAAAAAGCCAAACAACACGCTTCCGAAGACGGCTCTGCCTTGCCATACGGGTCACCTTTCTGTTCTTGGCGCAAGCCTCTCTGCCTGCTCCACAGGCCAACGGCACATCGAGTCATCTGGAGAATCTAGAGTCCAGAAGCTCTGACGCCGCCTCGGTTCCGTGTCGCTGGCATCCTCCATCGCAAGCTCCTCAGCTTGCGCCTGCACAGATTCCCGGCCTCTGCTTGGTAATCGAAACTTTTAACGGAGTCTCAGCCCTGCCTCGGTGCTGGCTTCCTCCACGACCGGCTGACCTTACTCAATGACCGCGCACTTTCCATGCACCGCAAGCACCCACCTTTGCTTGGCACAGGACTCTCCTCAACATCGCTGAGAAGCTCCGCCTCTCGAAGACTTTCGTTGCACCGGCTCGCGGCTGCGCGTGAGCTGCGACACCTCCTCATGGCTGTCTTTGCTTCTGCTTCTTGGTCTCACTGGCCTCGCAACAGCCGTGCTTGCAATCACAGAGAGGCATGACTTCGCCACAAAAACTGCATCGCTGGCCGCCCCTGAGCAGCAAGCCTGTCAGCTCTGTCCTTCTTCCTCTGACTCGCCTCTGGCTTGTCCCTGTGCACCTGCCGTCCGAGACTCAGAAGGATGTCAATGCACCGATGCGGACAGATTGAGAGGTTTGAAGTGAGAGAGGTTCACCAAACTGCGGCTGAGAAACATCTGGAGCATCTCGGAGTGGAACACGATTCCTTGACACATGCAGCCATGTACATGCACAGCATGTCAACCGAAATATTTTCCAGCCGCTGTATTGCGGCTACATTAGTCCACACCTGTGTTCTTACGTCGCGCTCAACGTCAGTAGTCGAAAAGCAAGCCATTTTTTCGCACATGTGCTACCAAACAATCATGACAGAGTATGCCGGTCCATTTTTCACCGAATCTTTGGTGTTCAGCTTTACTTGGTGAAGCTGAATCGGTCTGGACATGTCTTGCTGTCCTGGCGCCCAAGGCGTCGTAGTCTGTGATAGTGACACGCCATGCATGCTGGTCTACTTGATAGCCCCGCAGGCATTAATCTGAATCCTCCTCAGCCTCCTCTTTACCGTTTGAACCTCCAGATGTGACACTCTTGACTTTCAATGTTTTCTTCCAAGCAGAGATCTCACTGTCAGCTGTCGCCTCCGTGCAAGCCACCAGTTCATTCTTGTTGGAGGGCATTCGTCGCTCGACCATCGAGAGGCTCTGCCACCAGAAATGAAGGTTCTTCAGCGACTCTAGGGACTGATTCACATTGCGAAGTTGAGCCGATAGGTTCTCAAACTCCATGATGCCAGTGAAGAAGGAGATAAAGGACACCAGCACCGGTATCCAAGCTTCCTAGAGGAGAGTAAGGCTTGGGTCTCAGGTTTAGGGTTTAAGATTTTGGATTTGAGGGTTTAGGAGGTAGCATGCAGACCAAGCTTCGTAGCCGAGCGGAGTTGCAGCTGCCAGTGCTGCGGTCAGGAAGTAGGTCAAGACTTGAAGCACCAACACCTTCCTTGAAAGGTCACGGCTACGCCAGGCGTAGTACTGAAGCATGGGTAAGAATCGGAAATGGATGTAGTCCTCGGCCGTCACCAGAGATGTTCCATCATCATTCAAGTAGTCATCATCAATTGCAAAGGGCAAAGGGGTTTGGGTGGAAATCACTGCCAACCTGACTCCATGGGCCATCCTCATGATCCAGAACCTTCGCAGAAGGACGTCTGCAGGGTTTGCAGAGCCTCTTACAACACAAGTGGGAAGTGGAGGAGGTGCGCGCTTTATAGGAGGCAAGGACCTTGTCCCAGTCATAGAGGTTGGCTTGAAGTTTAGTCATGGCTGAAGCTGGTGGCATTGACAAATAATCAGCCCGAACATCCGAGCTAGTGGCATCAGAGTTGATCTGTGCTAAAGCTGCAGAGAAGGTGCCTCGACGAGTTGTTCCCTTTGGGACTGTTGCCTCAGCCTTCCTCTGCCTCTTTTTCAGAGCTGCTAGCGTGGCTAGGTCAGCGGTGCTGGGAGGATTGTCACAAAGCTCCTCCACGCAATCTTCAATGTCCATGTCGTTGGACTTCCGGGGCTGGTAGTACAGCACACGACAGCGGTACTGATAGATCTCGCTCTTCACATTTACAGCACCGCTTTCCAAAGCTGGCCATTTGTTCACGAAGTTCCATCGGCTGATTGCGGTCAGAATAAACGCACTGACACAGGGCAAGACCAGCAGACTCACTCTGAGCTCTTCCTGTTGCAAGGGTGAGTCTGGATTCGTCGTGCTCTCACGATACAAGATGGCCACCACGGTCACGACAACGGAAAGTACCAGGGCACTGTACTGGAGGACTCGAGCTCTTCTTCGGAAAATCGTCGCGTTGTAGGCATAGAGCAAGTACTGTTCCCAAGCATATCGGAGACGATTCTCTTCGCTCTTGGCAAAACCAATCTCCATCATTTCATCATCTTGGACCGTCGACAGAACGAGCGTCAACTTCTTGATGACCTTTTCAACTGAATCCTTCGCTGGATTCAGGATCAGGAACTGGTCGTCGGGTACATTTTCCGGAAGGTCATACCCGTACATAAACTTGGAATGTTCGGCATGATGGGGCTGGCGTCCAACATTTCTGCGGCCATCCACACCAGGCTGAATGAGGGCCTCATTCCCATTCGCAAAAATCGAGGCCCGAGTTGCCAGGGAGCGGAGCTTGATTCTCAGTCTGTCCAATGTTTGCTGACTTTGGACAAAAATAATGTGAGTAAGGGCATTGCAGAGAAAGCGCCTCGTGATCTGGGCACGCACCTCCAGCTCCAAGTCAGCAACACTCTTGGCACTCTTCCCTGCATCTTCATCATCCGGATCTAAGCCCCGGGGATCCTGCTCATTGGCTGCCTTCGGATCGCTTCCAAGCTCTGGAAACAACTGGCTGTTGACGGATGGGTACATCACCCGCTCCTTCAGTTCTTCCTGCTTCTCTGGAGGACCGGATGCAGGCACAGCCTGTGCGCACTGGAGAAAGCTTTCCTTGAACTCCGTGTCTTGCAAGAAACGCACACAGAACACCACGTTCTCGGTCTTGTGCCTTGCCAAGCATCCGAAGGCGGACCAATAGACCTTCAAGCCGTCCATCAAAACTTCGTTCAAGCCTCCTCTAGGTCCGGTGCCCAGATCAAACATCCGCCACATTCGCTCACAGCCTGGCAAACACCTGACGAGATCTCTGACAGTCGACTGGTAAACTTTTGTCTGAACTGCCAATCCTCTACGGCGCCAGTGGCCGTGGCCCAGGCTTCTCGGTTTCGAAGTGTTGGCGAATTGGCCCAGTTCACATAATGGTCCCTCCCGCCATAGCAAGACAGTAAAAGATTTGGAGGCTTTAAGCGCCATCCATCTTGGCGAACAAACATCCAGCGCAAGATTTCATCTGCACTCTCCATCTCAGGAGGCGCAATGATGTATTTGGCACGATGTCCACCAGTACCCAAGCCACTGAATTCCACCTCCCCTCTGAGCAGCTGCAGTTCTTTGGCAGACAACTTGTTGATGCCGACAGCACTGGCCGATAGCTGCATCTCCTTGATTTGTTCTTGGGCCTTTTCCTGCGCCAGATTCTGGGCCTGGCCGCCAACACTGGAAACTGCTCTAGAGTACTTCGGCTTCGGCTTTGCAGATACTTCATCCAACAAGGCATCAAGCTCGGAATCAGGCATCACCGACTTTGGACCGGTCGCATCGCCACCATCTGGCGCGATAGTAACAAACTTTGAACCTTCATCCATTTACTCTGCGAGTGCCGCGGGAGCGCGAGGATTTCACGCTTGGAGTATGGAGTTCGAGCCACAAGCAGCCACAGCAGCTTGAAGATATCATTCCACAAGTCAGTTGCATGTCTTGACTCCAAGCATATAAAGTCGGGACGTTGCGGCTGGCCTTCCCTGCTAAAAAAAGCAATCTTCAGACAGATGGCAGCCTCGGAGAATATGATCCCCTCGGTGACACCGACGCCCTTTCCTGAGGTGCAACATGCTGGCACTGCACTCAGAAACGGAGACTTCACGCCGGTGCCTCTTGGTCGGCCTTGCCCGCCGCCCTTGCAGGTGACCTTCGTCAGCGTGCATGAGATGAAACCGAACGTGGTGCCAGAAATTCCCGACCTTGACTTCTGCACCGCCTGTCGAAGGCATACTGCCACTTCTGACGCTGTCACCACTCCAGCGACTCGACCCTCCCCTGCCTTGGGCTTCTTCGCGCCTGCATCCAGCTTCTGGCCCCTCTCCGTTTCACCGCGACTTCTTCCGTCCTTTGGTGGGTTCGAGTACAAGCTCCACTGTGTCTCCGCCTGATGCCACATCTTGGCAGTCTTGCCTGGGCCCTGGCCGCCGGCGATGCAGCCCGCTGGCCATTCGATCTCCGGCTTCCGCTCGGGACCGTCTCGTCGTGGTGGCTTCCACCCTTTGGTGCCTGGCTGTCAAAAAACATGTCTCCAATTCCAAACAACACGCTTCCAAAGACGGCTCTGCCTTGCCATACGGGCCACCTTTCTGTTCTTGGCGCAAGCCTCTCTGCCTGCTCCACAGGCCAACGGCACATCGAGTCATCTGGAGAATCTAGAGTCCAGAAGCTCTGACGCCGCCTCGGTTCCGTGTCGCTGGCATCCTCCATCGCAAGCTCCTCAGCTTGCGCCTGCACAGATTCCCGGCCTCTGCTTGGTAATCGAAACTTTTAACGGAGTCTCAGCCCTGCCTTCGTGCTGGCTTCCTCCACGACCGGCTGACCTTACTCAATGACCGCGCACTTTCCATGCACCGCAAGCACCCACCTTTGCTTGGCACAGGACTCTCCTCAACATCGCTGAGAAGCTCCGCCTCTCGAAGACTTTCGTTGCAATGGCTCGCGGCTGCGCGTGAGCTGCGACGCCTCCTCATGGCTGTCTTTGCTTCTGCTTCTTGGTCTCACCGGCCTCGCAACAGCCGTGCTTGTAGTCACAGAGAGGCATGACTTCGCCACGAAAACTGCATCGCTGGCCGCCCCTGAGCAACAAGCCTGTCAGCTCTGTCCTTCTTCCTCTGACTCGCTTCTGGCTTGTCCTTGTACACCTGCCGATGCGCAGGCATCGCATCGCATGACTATCCACACTTAGCACGGCACTCTCTGCCCCCGACACTCCGGATATCCCTCGGTGGCCTAGTCACCCAATGCACCGACAGGCTTCACTGGGCCAACCGTGCCTTCGCCTTGCTTGCCTCGGGCGCCCGACCTCGTTTCCCAAAGCATCCCCACTCACCGTCTTCAGAGAGGAACTCGGCCCGCTACCGGCATGATCACGACCAGCCGCCTGGTTTGGCGAAGTTCACCCTCTTCTTCCTCTAAGTCCGAAACCCTAAGAGAGGTTCTTAGGCAGATGCCGGAGAGCCAGCCGAGCCCTGGCTTTCCGGATCTGGGTCCTTGGAGCACGCGGACCCTAGGCCCTGAGAGAAGCGATGAAACGGGAAATTCCCTCGGAGGAGCTCTAAAGATGTTACCGAGGGTGGGTCGAGACGAAGACTGGAAGACAAGGAAGGCTCTGCCTGGCTGTCTTGAAGCGCTTCAGCGACCACCGGACCTGAGAGAGGCGACCCTGGGCCCGAGATCTGGAAAGTAGCGAAGGTTGGCTTCCGACTGGACGGGATGGTCTCCTCTGCGAGGAATCGGTTGAAAGCCATATTCTACAGAACAAGCAACTATCAGAATCTGTTGGCTGATGCTTCGATCCTGGGCCGCTTCTGCGAAGACCCTCGGCAGGCCATGCTCTGCAAGGAAGTGCATACTTCCGACAGTCTTCACATGGTGTTCAGTCGTGTCGCTGAGGACTCGTGTCCAGCTCATGACTCGCACGGGCTTGATCATCTGCTGCGGCCTGGCGACACATGAGATGCAGAGTGCTCCACTACTTCATGCATGGTCTGCGTGAAGCCATGTAGGATTTACTCACGTGCCTTGCTGGGTTTCGCAGGCCGCACAGGCCCTGGTTCCAAGCGGGACGATAGAGCCGGAGCAGCTCATAAACGACGAGAAAGAAACTGAATCTTGATGACTTGATTAGGCACGGCATGTAAGTACGAACGTACAGATGCATGCAGCCGGTCTTCTGTGAGGCACAAAAAAGGCCAAACTCTGAGGGAAACTAAATGGTAAGAGCTGTGATCTTCCGATTGCCAGGCTCTCCTAACTAGACTTTACAGCTGGCTTGTCCAAATTTCAAATCTCACGTAACTATTGAGATGAACCAGCGAAGCACAACTGCAAAGATGCCTGTTGCAAGTGCCACATGCGAACGAACGCGACGTGACATGTCAGCGCAAAGAACGAGATACGAGATGATTGGCCCTTCTGTGGTGCCTTTTATGTGCTTTCTTGCATTCGCTTGCTTGCATTCGCTTGCTAACCTGAAAGAGCTCTCTCCGCTGCGGCAGTGTTGGGTGTAAGCTGGGACAGGACGCTTGTTCTTCACCGTGCGAGTGCTCATCCGGTGCAGTGGCCCCAGGCCAGGAAGGAATTGCTCTCCACGGTGCATCCTGCCGTTTCCTTCAGATGCGAAGATCTTCCATCATGTTTCGAAAAGCCGGAGGAAAGGCCTCTTAGGACGGGAGCAACTTGTCGGCTCTCCAGCTCAGTTTTGGCTACATCCTCTTACAGTCATGAGCGACATGAGGAGGCATGGAAGGAAGCGTGAGCAGCCTCCATGACTCATGACGAGACGTGAAAGTATAGGTATGTCACATGCAAGAACAAACGAAGGCAGCAGAAGTGCTCTTAGCATCCGGCTTGCATCATCACCTTCGGGCATGTACGCTTACGTTTGCGAGCTCATCGCCAATCTGCAACAGTACACAGTACAACTGCACTTGGTTCCCAACTGTCAGAACTGTCTGCGAGCAGCCGCGCACGTGCATTGGTGGGCACTTTCTCCTTGCCGCGGAAGGCAACAACAGGCTGTACACGGATTGCTCTCGGCCAACAAGAATGTGACTGCTTCCCTCCCTGATCGGGCCTGTCGACGAACTCGGATGGGTGACGGAGGAGACTCTGGTGCCTCTGGAACTCATGCTCGAATCGACGCAAGTTTGTGAAGCTGTGCCTCATCCTCCTCTTCCTCCTGCTGCGCTCCTGGCAGCGACTACGACAGGGATCCTCTTTCCACTTCAGAAACGAGATCAGACAAGTTCTGGCCTTCAGCGCCCTCCTGGGCACCGTGCTCAAGCGACCTGTCCAAAGAGACAGAGTCTGCAGCGAGTGACCCCTACATGCCAGACAGTCCTCACATCAAGTCTTGCTAGACTGCGATACGGGAGTTTCCGAAAAATAGGAGGGGACCCTAATATCGTACCCTAAATAGAAGGATCCTTAGACCCCAAATAAGGTTCCCCTGATTCGCGGAAACTCCCATAATACTGTGCTGAGACGAGAAACTCAGATTCGAGTTGCATCCTTCGGAGGCGGCCAACCTCGCCGGGCAGGATATAACGTAGGGGGCCCAAATAATTATCTAAAGGGTTGCCTTGAAGAGTCTATAAAGGGCTACTATCGGAGCTATTATGTCTTTCAAGGAAACTCTAAGGGCTATTATGTCGGGCCTAAATACCCACAGGGTTCCTTTAAAGGGATCCTTAAAGGGGTCGATAACGGATCTATCGTAGGGCTCTACAATACAGGGCCTAAATGATTACCTACAGGGTTCCTTTGAACAGGGTCTATTACGGCCACTAAAAGGGCTGAAATAGGGGTTGAATTTAAGGGCCTAACTGATTACCTACACCATGTTGGGGCTCCTTATTATAATTAGAGCAGAAGGGCCCCTTTTCTATTTACGCGGGGCTTTGCTGTGAGGATCCGACAATTTGTCAGAGTCCCTAGTTCTCACAACTCGAGAACCGTTTGCTCTGAAGGAAGGAGACTAAGTTGAGAGCAGGAGGATCCCAGGGTTTAGGGTCGAGGGGTTTAGGATGTAGGGTTTTGGGTTTAGGGGTTTAGGATTTCAGGTTTAGGGATTTAGGATATAGGGTTTAGGGTTTAGGGTTTTCGCGCCAACTTGAGACAAATGAATCCGAGCTGTCACAGAACCTAAGACTTTAGATGAGAACCGATGTCTCTGCCAACACACGGTTAGACATGAAGTCTGCCGCTGGGTCTGATGCAGGATATGACATATGATGGCTCGCACAACTCGACATGTCATATGCCACGTATTCTGACGTGCGACGACCTGACACGCAAAGCTGGAAAGCTGGGACTATATATCTGCACATGATGCATCGTGAGTGCCATGATTTTCTGACAAGACATATGCCGCACCACAGGAAGTAGAATTTCAGCTGTGGTCCAGTGGGCTACACAGCAAGAAGAGCACATGAAAGATGCACCGAGCCCTGATGGGAAAGCAAGGGCCGGGCAGGCTCTGACTGCATTGCACGGGCGACCTTTGCAAATCGAGAAATGTTGCGTTTCTCCCCCTGAAAGACCGACAGCTCGGACCGCGACATCGGATCCCACGCTCCCGCGGCCCAGATGAGATCCATCAGGTGGCCCGGCCTAAGCGCCCAGGACAGCGAGATGCTGACACTGCTGGAGTTTCCGAGAGCTTCCGACGCCGGCCAAATCCCATAAGGCTCTGCCGACATCTGTCCTGCGCTCACTTCGGGCTGACGAAAGCACTCCCTTCATCATCGAGGAATCAAGGCGGCTCCTGTGAAATCCAGGCCTCAGGATCAGTCAACAGGCTGACGTGATGCCAGCTGGTAGCGGCAAGGAAGTTTCATTGTGGTATTTCGGCAAGCTGCCAGGGCTGCATGTATTCTGCTGTCCGTGCGTCTGCCAGTACCGTGCGATAATCCCTGTGGCATCGAAGCAAGTCTCTGAGCTTTGCACGCTGAAGGGTCCACTGGCATTGGCCGGCACGATTCTCATGGTACGCGCTCAGCCTCCGCTGCGTGGCCTCCCATCCAAATCGGCAAAGTCTGCGACAAAGCTGCGAAAGCTCTCGGAGCCTTCGCCAGGATCAGCCATTCTTGTGCCCATCCCCGCTTGAGCCACGAGCGCATGTGCCGAGAAACTCTGCATCAAAGTTCCACGCCGAGGAATCACCAATGCCAGCTGTTTCATGTCAACTGTATTTGACAACCTCTCGCCACTAGCCAGTATATACTTTCAAGCTGGGATCAACCTTCAGGCAGTGACACTGAGACACGGCGTGTTTGGACTAGCACCCGCAAGAGCTGGCGTGCTTGTCTAGCGACTGTTACAGCTACATGCACCTTGTGAATGATGGAGATAGCAAGAAGGAGTGAAGCCATCAACCTGAATCGGAGCCTTCACGGCAGACTTCACATTGTTTTCGCGTTGCTCAACGCAAGCCGTTTACTTCCACGGGTTGCTCCAGTGGAAGGGCTTGCAAAGGATGTAGAAGGGCTCCCAACACGTGCCCCTGGCATAATGTGGACAAACACAACCGAACATGCTCAGAACAAGAATATGATGCAGCAGACGAAGAAGAAGCGCAGGTGTCTTTTTGCAGCTGAGGCGCCGGGAGAGACGCTGCGAAGGAGGCGTCATCCACCAGGAGCAACTCAGCAGACCCGCTCCTGACTCGGCGATTTCCAAACTATCGCAATCTGCCTGCCCGCCCGAAACCCTACAACCTCATGCAAATTCTAATGACGACATTCATAACCGAGGCATGGACGAGGCGTTTTGCCGCACAGACAGGGACGTCGGCTTGAATCTGCACGCCTTGGATTCAAAGTTCCAGTCCCAAACCTTTGATACTTCAAAACCACCGCAAAAATGTGTGTGTGTGTGTGCATGCCTGTGTCCGTGTCTGTGTCAATGTCTGTTTGTTCCTGCGTTTTGGTGCATGTGTGTTTGTGCGCGTGCGTGCGTGTGTGTATGTAGGTGTGTGTATGTGTATATGCCTGTATGTATGTGTATATGAATATGTAAATTGTGTATGTATACTTTTACATGCATATGCATATGTAGATGTAGATGCAAAGTAGCTGTAGGCGTAAATGCAGATGTAGATGTATACACATATGGGTATACATATGTATATACACAATACCTCATCCTGTAGCAAGACAAACTGATGCCCCAGCAATGAAAGTGCTGAGGCCAAGACATTCCCTGGATTTGAACCTGCTCTTTTCCTTGTGTCATGTTTCCACACACCTGATGTGTGTGTGTGTGTGCATGTTTGTGACATGTTCACCAAACTCAACATGTTGTTCTCTCATCTCTATGGGCGACGATCATCGTTCTCATGGCAAGCGACTTGGTGTGCGCACGAATCATGAGCATCGCTCCGTCATGAGATTTTGGCAAAAATCGTTTCGTCACGTACAGGAAACTTTCGGCCGAACTTGTATGAACTTGTCATAACCGGCCCCGATCATGAAGACGTTCCTCCACCTCAAAGAAGGAGCAGGCCAAGAAGTAGGCAGGCAAGTTACTGGTATGTCATGCTCCGGGTGATCGGGTGGACCTCTGCTTGTCGATTGGCTCTTGATGCACTTGTTGTCAGATGGCAGTGCTAACGGGGGACGCGGGGCGGTGAGTCGGATTAGGGCCCGGGGCCCTCCTCCTACGGGCGGTGGGCAACCCTATTCCCCGGCTTACCGCCAACGGACCCGTCGGCCTGACAAGCCGGCGGGTCCTTACTTTCTTTTGTCCAAGACCACGAAGAGAACACTCGACCTTGCCCAGTGGGTGATGGGGTTCAATTAGTGAAGCGCGGACAGGCGCTGAGTACCCCCAAAACCTGGCGGCGCCGATGTCAGCAGCATCATTGGGGGGCGTTGAATGTACGCACACTTGCATGCCAGATTCGTGTTGGGACCGATGGGGACTTGACCTTCCGGGGGACTGATATTGACAAGCCGGATATTCTGTGTGAGCTGTTACAATCTCATGGCATTTCGTTGTGCTGTATCTCTGAACATCGTTGGAGAGGAGAGGGTACCGTAGTTTGTGGGGATTACCTATATGTATTCTCTGGACTGCCTGAAACAGCACCAAAAGCAATGCAAGGTGTTGCTGTTTGCATGAACTCTGAAATGCAGCGTGCGTGGAGGGCAGCAGGACAGTTTTGTCGGTATGAGGGCGGTCGTCTCTTGCAAGTGAAGTTGTTGTTATATGGACGTGTTGTGCATGTGTTTGCTGTGTATGCACCTACGTTCAACACGGAAGCGGCGGAAAAGGATGCTTTTTATGACAAGCTCCGGGAATTGTTGGGCACAGTTCGCAGCGGGGAAGATGTGTTTGTTATGGGGGACTTCAACGCCAGAGTCGGGACTGTTTCGCATTCTGCACTGTCTGGGGCAGCTACGGTCAATGCTAGCGATGCTATCGGCTCCTTTGGTCTGGGACATCTGAATGATAATGGGGAACGGTTGCTCAGTTTGTGCGAAGGCTCACCTACTGGGTTACTTAAAGTTGCGGGCACTTTCTTCCAACATAAACATTATGGCACCTGGATGCATGCGAAAACTAAGCGCTGGCATCATATTGATCATGTCCTGGCGCCGGTGCGCTCTATGCGTCTTATTATGGATGTTAAAACCATGCCTGGTTTTGGCTTTGATACTGATCATCGCATGGTCAAGGTCAGGTTGCGTTTTCCACCTCGTTCTTGGAATTTTGGGCTGTCCAAGCGCACACTGGCGCCCAAAGAGACGCGAATTCCACGATTGCAGATTGGACGGTTGTCTCCAGCGGCAGCCGGTCAGATTAACACCAAATTGCAGGATAGCATGACTGAGGGCTTGCTTGATGAGTATTCACTGTGGTCATACGCAGTTCGCTTGTTTGCGCAAGATACATTGGGGTTACAGTCAACTGAAAATAAACCTGCTTGGCAAGTGGACAATGCTGCTCGTCTGGCCGAGCTTAGTCAGCAGCGTAAAACAGCGTACGCCTCTTTTGCCCAAGGAGGTCATAGGGATACATATCGGCAAGTGTGTAAAGAAACTCGACGCGAAATACGTAAGATCATGAATACCTGGTGGCGGGATAAGGCGAAGGCCATACAGGAGGCGGTTGATGGGAAGGAGCCTAATGCGTTGTATGCAGGGCAACGGGAACTACAGAGTATTTTTTGGAATAGACGCAAGCGGCCTAACAAGCTACGCGACAAAAAGGGTCGACTTATTCTCACTCAGCCTGATCGTCTCGAGCGCTGGCGTGAGTATTTTTCGGAACTGTTGAATGTTCCTGGTACTGTCAAGTCCGCGCATTTCGATGCCTTGAGCCGAGTGGATACTGATGCTGGTCTTGGCAGTCCTCCCAGCTTTGCCGAAACTGTTGCGGCTGTCCAGCGATTAAAAAACGGAAAGGCTACTGGTCCTGATGGGATTGATGCCGAGCTCCTTAAGTGCTTGTCCTTGGTGAATTTGCGGGTGATGCATGAACATATTTACCGTGTGTGGATTGGTGCAGCGCCCATGCCGGAGGAATGGGCTGAACATTATCTTATCCCGATACCCAAAAAGGGGGATCTGAGTTACTGTAAGAAATGGCGTGGCATCTTGCTGGCCTCCATACCAGGCAAGGTTTTTGGGAAAATTGTTAATGCCAGATTATATGGGCACGCTGAAGCGAACAATTTGATGCCGGAAACTCAAGCTGGCTTCCGTGCTGGGCGCAGCACGCTGGATATGGTTTTTGTTCTCCGTATGGCACAGGAAATCGTACGTGCGAAAGATCATCCGCTGTTTGTCGTGTTTGTCGATCTGGTCACAGCATATGATAGTGTTGTCAGAGAAGGGTTGTGGCATATACTCCGAATTAAAGGGGTTCCGGAGAATCTTGTTGCCTTGCTTAAAATTTTCTACGAGCGGAAAACTACGCGCGTGTTTGCAGAAGGTTGCCTGACTGATTCGTTTGATTTAACCACTGGCCTTAGCCAGGGATGCTGTGTGGCTCCTTTGCTGTTCAATATATTTTTTGGCGCAGTTATGGAAAAATGGCGGTTATTGGAGGGCCGGCGCCTGGACTGGAGCACGCGGGTTGACGGCGTTCTACATCGGGTGCAGCTTGACCGATATGCCTCTCACGAAAAATGCTCTGTATCAGATATTGGTTATGCTGATGACTTGGGACTTCTTGGGGACTGTTATGGGATGCTGAAGCGTCTCACGCAGGAATTTCAGGTTTATGTTAACAGCTGGGGCTTGACGCTGTCTGTGGAGAAAACGGAGGCCATGTGTACCACTCAGGCTAAACAGGTGCCGATTCCGGTTTTGCCGCATCAGGACAAGGATAAAATTGAGTTTGTCGAAACTTTTGAATATCTTGGCTGTCAAATTAAATTTGACGGGGATTGTACGCCGGACATTGTGCACAGAATTGAGCAGGCGCGAAAGGCGTTCTGGAAGTTGGCGTCTACAGTGTGGTATGTACAAGAACTTTCACTCGAAGTCAAAATGTTGGTTTTTCGCGCTTGCGTCCTTTCTGTTCTGGTATATGGTTGCGAAACATGGACTACCACGTTTACTGCCAGACATAAGTTACGCATGTTTTACATGATGTGCCTCAGAGTTATCAGTCGCGTTACGCGCTGGCAGCAGCAGCATTGGCATTTGAGTAACGAGGATCTTAGGGCCTGGCTGGGCGCTCCAGACATAATTGCGATTATCACTCAGCATCAACTCCGCTGGATTGGTCACGTTGCCCGCATGCCACAGGATAGGTTACCGAAACAAATCATTTGCGCGTTTCTTCCGGAATCCGTTGGCACACAACGTTTGCCGGGACGGCTGAAGGGTAAATGGTATCGTCAAACATTGGTTGAGGCGATGCGTACGGCGGATATACCTCTTGCAATCTGGACGCAATTTGCAAACAGAAATAACGGAGATGACTGGCGGTTGGCTACCCGAAAGGTTGCGTTATG